GCTGGGCCAGGATGTGCAGAAGACATAGATACGTCTACATAGAGACTCCAGAGTGGAGACACGGCAGAGGCCCTGAACTTGCTTTAGAATTGCAGGGCTGGCACAAGGGCCAAGCCAACCACCAGCGTCCATTCCCTACACAGGGAGCATCTGATGGGATTCAGGACACATTGCTCCAGAATGTGGCACTTTGCCAGACTGAATACTTCAAGCTGAAGGAATTCAAGAGATGGCAGGTAGTGCAGCAAGCAATTTCTGACCTGCTGAAGCAGATCATAAGATCTTCATATGTGAGGAGCCCTCCCTATACCTAAGGGGCAAGGAGCATCCTTATCTCTGAGGACAGAATCTCAGTGAATAGACCTTGCAAGTTTCTCCCAGTTTACTACACTTAGCTTGGACCCTTTATTCTTTCACTTCTTTCCATGACTTCCCATTCCTTATAAAACCTGGCATTAAATGGCTCAGGTTTAACCACTTCTTTAGGAAGGTTCCTGTGCGATATTAAGCTTATATGAAATAAATGCATATGCTTTTCTGCTACTGATCTCTTTTGTTACAGGGGGCTGGCTGAGAATTTAGAAGGGTAGAAGGAAAAGATGTTTTTCCTCTCTTACACCTCCAAGATTTGGGATAACATATGAGAGACAGATAACAGAGTTAGATTCTCCCATTCTTACCTTTTCCCATCTCTCCTACACCTTAGTCATTATAGCGACAGGAAATCACCTGCCTGATTTAAGACAAAGTGGAAGCTGTATCTCAGGAATCAGTTACAACCTCCGTCTTGAGAACTTGGAAATTGGGTGAAAATCAGTATCAGCCAAGAAGAACAGTTCTCAACTAAGAATGGGGAACAGGATCACTGTGCAGGTAACCAAACAAAGATACGCAAAGACCTCAGTGCCCAAGATTCTGATTCAGCAGGCCTGGGGTCTGGGCCTTTAAGTCATTTCACGGGCAATGCTGATGTGAGACCAAGGTTAGGAGGACCCCTAGCCAGGGATGCTGATGCTGTTTTCTGCTGCAGTGGCCTCGGGGTGCTATCAAGCTGTGGAACTGTAGGGAGAAGGACAGCTGTCCTAACACATAAGGCTGCAGAAGAAGACGGGTGAGTGCTCGGCAGACACACATCTTACAAAAATGTTTTCATTTTAAAAGACTTATTTGTTCAGAGCAATGTTAGATTTAGAGAAGAACTGAGTAGAAAGTACAGAGAGTTCCCATATGCCTGTCCCCCTCCCCTAGCCACACAGCACACACTTTTCCTATTATAACATCTTACATTACTGTGGTTCTTTTCTTATAATTGATGAACCAATATTAATACATTATTGATTAAAGTCTACAGTTTACAGTAGGATTTGTTATTCATTTTGGATAAGTTTTGACAAGTGGATAAAGTCATTGTCTGAGAAGAAAAACTTTTCTTCCACACAGTGTGAGGGTCCCTGGCTGGGTCTGAAAATTAAACTAAGAAAGGCAGATCAATAGGAGGAAAGCACACATATTTTATTAAATGTGTATATGTCCGTGGGAGTGTTCAGATGACAACGAAAATCCAAATTAAGTGCATAGAGCAGGAAGCTTTTATATCTTTTAATCAAAGAAACAATACATTTATGAAGACTTGTCATGACAAAGGGGTTTGGTTTATGGGTAGAAAATGATGAAGAAGGAACTAGAAAGATAGGGGTTAGTTTCCTCTGGCGCCCTCTCTAGGCAGATAAGAGTCCATCTCCAGTGAAAGGAGAATTAATTTTTATGCCATTAGACAAAAAAGGAGATTTTTCTGTACTTAGTTATTCTTACTTTCCTTCAGTGCAAAACAGTTTTTATGTCAAAGAGCCATATGTTGGGGTGACATATTCTGGTTTCCTTTAGCACAAACATGGGATATCTCTCCATTTATTTAGCTCAACTTTTGACTTATTTCATCCGAATTTTATCATTTCCCTCATATTAATCTTGTACATATTTTATTGGATTTATACCTAAATACTTCATTTTTTTTTGTTGCTAATGTCTTCGGTTTTTTCTTTCAAATTCCTGTTATTCAGTGCTGGGATTTATGAAAGCAATCTATTTTTGTATATTAGCCTTTTATCCTGCAACTTTACTATAAACAAGCAGTTTTTATCCTAAAGATAATCGGAGCCATGAAAAGCAGGAGGCAAGAGTGTGTTCCACTGTTATCTTCATGCTCCAAGAATACCAATCTGGAAGGAATATGTCGGATAGATTGGAAGGAGAAGAGGTTAAAGGCAGGAAGTCCAAGTAGGAACCTTTTATGTGAGCCCTTAAGGAGACAATAAGATTCTGAATAAGGGGATTTTAGCACCAGTGGAAAGGTAAGTGCAGATGTACAAGGCAGATCTCCTACGTTTGCCCTTTCCGTTCATATGTGTGGTTCTCTTCACACAGCTTCCTCTTTGGGCTGCCCTTACCATCCTCTTCATCGAACTTCTAATTGATCCTCAAAACTCAGTTCCAGTGTTGTGCTCTCTAACAATACCTCCTCTCTCCTGTCTCCTCACACTTCCTGAGGAGCTGCAGTTACCTCCATCGCAGCTGCAACTGCTGCTTATGTTGATTAATACATAACCGGGGAGGTCAGAGTTCAGTGCTAGAGTGCATGGCTGCCACGCCCGAGGTCCTGGCTGCAATCCACAGTACCTGCATGAAATACATAAGTAAATACATAGACAAACGTAATTACCTCCCTCCCTACAAAAAAAATTTACAAAGAAAGAATAAACAAAGTTCAAATATATATATATGCATATGTGTATGTATATACATAATGTATTTTTCCATTTACCTCACTGTTTCTTTCATTAGATCCCGAACTCCTCAATCTGAGTAGCCCAGTTACTGGCCCAACAAACACACACATAAAGGAATAATTCAAATCTCTTGTTGAAATTCACATTACCAAGTACAGGGTAGTTATTACATGCATAGTTTCTCCTAAGGAACTGAAATCATAAAACTTCAAAAACTGAAACTTCAGTTCAGGAAGGAAGCACCCACCCATATCAGGAAGTGATCAGGTCTTTAAAACTCTGTTTTGAGTCTCATCGTTTCTTAAGTAGCCTTACTCTTCCTGTGTCCACAGTGTTACTGATACTATGTTAAACAGCCAGTTGAAAAGGCTAGGAGTCTCATCCCCACTGTGCACAAGAAGTTCATCTTCCAAGCCCTGGGCTTCTCTCACCTGGGGCTCAGAGCCCCTCCCCTGCTGCACGCGGGCAGCCCGGGCAAGCCTGGGGGAACAAGAGACAAGCCTCAGAGCATGGGACTAAGCAGCGCTTCTGGCACCGTGGGAGCCCCAGCGTGGACACCTGGTAAGAGGAGGAGCCCCAGGGCTGGGGAGAGTGGGCTGTGAAGGTGGCCGGGAGGTCCGGGTCAAACAGCTGGAGGTAAATATTTCAGGAGCAAAGAGGGAAGAGACAAGCTTTCTGACATGGGGACCATCAAAAGCAGGAGTACAAGACAAAGAGAAGAGTGAGTTCTACCAATCAGGAAAGGTCATCTTACCTCAAATGCCTCCTCACTGGGCTTCAGTTTCTTCACAGAACTGTGAGACTCAACTGAAAAAGAAGATGGCTTAAAAAAAAACAAAATTCATGAAATGTTAAGAGGCAGAATAAAAATCTAAACGGTTGTGAGTAATAATTTTGCTCCTATGGCTTCTCCTCTTCTTCTTTGTCACCATCATCTTCTCTCTTCTTACACAGAAAAG